ATCTACGCCTTGGAACCTCTTCCAGAATTTTGTCCCACAACTAATAGCACTGATTTTAATTGTTATTTGCCTCATGTTAGTACTATTAGTCATGTTATTCCACATACACATGTTATTCACAATGATAATGCAGTAACATGTATAGCCGAATCAAGCGACGGTTCGGATTGTGCTAATAATTTATGCAACAAGACCATAACAAGTATAGCCGAACCAAAGGTTGGCTCAGATTGTTTTACTAACTTGGATAATAATGCAACAATCAATATAGCCGAACCAAGCGACGGTTTGGATTGTGTTACTAGTTTAAATAATGATGGAATAGCCAAACCAAGTGATCGTTCGGATTGTGTTGCTAGCTTAGACAATAGCATCGTTGAAAATATAGCCAAACTGAATGACGGTTCGGATTGTATTACAAATGAAAATGAGCTATCTTTGTCACCTAAGACCGAATCACAGATCGGTCATGTGAGTGTTGAAAATGAAAGTGACAATGACTTGCGAGGTAATGACAAAGTAGAGTACAAGCAACATCGCATACATATCCAAGGCCGTATCTGTTTGGAACCCTGGGTTCCAACCCCCCTCCATCGTATTTCGCGTGCATGCTTTTCAAACTGCTAAACAGTGTATTTTTTGCAAAAAGTTTCTATACGAAAGTTGCTTAAAAATCATATTGATCCATTTTTTTTAAAAAAATTAGCTAATACATAATTAATCATGCGCTAATTAACCGCTCTGTTTTCCGTGCGCACTGTGCATCGTGGGAGCGGGTGATTCCGACCACAGCCTTACACAAGTCCTAGGTAGCTTAACATGTGTTCACACTAGGATTAACAAAATCCAGTCAACTTATCTTAAGCCGGCAATTTTGCCGGGTTTCGATTGGACCACGTAGCACTATTAGATATTAACGCGTGCTTGCCATTTTGCCTGTACAATCGCATGTTTTCGCTGGGCCAAACAATCCCTCGTGAGCAGCCGAGCCTGTGGGGGGCTGAGGGCATGTGTGCCGAGCCAGCTAGGCGCTGAGCCGAGACACGGTGGTGTTTGGATCGATGTTGGTATTTCTTAACGATATTGCAGTACATACATTAATAAAATGCAAATTAGAGTATGACTAAGGTGGTGTTTGGATCGATGTTGGTATTTCTTAACAACATTACTAGAAATATAATTTCCAGCAATGGCGCAGAAATACTCCTGGTATATTATGGTTACAGATTTCATCCACAAGTGCACGGATATACCATTGTAACATTTCACCCGAGAGTATTCCAAGGGTATCACGTTTGTTTAATCCCGTGGGAAGATTATAGTAGAGAGAACCGTACTAATAATTTATATATTACTTGTAATAACTATAGTCTAAGCAGGGGTTAATATAAGCAGAGGATAAAGTGACACACAAGCATAAGACTACTCATTCTCATATTAAATTATCTGAGCAAAGTGGAAAGAAAATAGAAAAATAATATATTCCTATACTTCTAATATACATATTGTACATACATCCTAACTATAAGATTAACTAGCTAATATCCTCTTTCCGATGCCCTCCTGGTGCTTCGAGAAGCCACCCATGACTGACGAGTTTCTTACGACAACCTGTCATGACCATATAACAGGGGCTAAATACGGAGGAGTACCCTCCCCAGGAAATTAACTTAGGACTATATACACACGCGGAGGAATACCCGTACTGAGCTGTCACCATCAGTGGCCCACCTCTCTTCCACAGCATATAACCCCAAATAATGATACCCAGTAATCTAGACACCACGTGTAAACTACCAGATAGTACTCTAATATCATCGTCATGACATAGAGTAATTGCATAAGCAAACATTATACCTGTACCATGGCATCTCCCAGATAAGCTAGCAGTAAAATCAACATAACTCGGATATAAAGTAAAGTTGGTATTCATATACTCGGAAAATATTACAATACCAAAGTTGTATAAAGAAGAATATTGTAAATAAAGTACAAGTCTTACAAAAGAAGAAAGGAGAGCTGCTAGAGCCATATCCGAACTCTTCCGAATACTTCCGGACTCAGACTTCTGTTCTATTCCTACTCCACTAGCTTGAGAATACTAAACTAAGCTTAAGAGAGTATGAGAGAGCTTGCTTGAGGTGTGTGTTGAAATGGAGGATGAGAGCTCCTTTTATACCTTCCCAATGATAGTTGTGACCGTTGGAATGGTCGGAAATACCCTCCAACCATCATTGGGGGCTAATCCACACCGTCCAGGCAAAGCCCTAGATCGGATGATGCTGAGAAGGGTTCGGCCGAGCCCCCTAGTTCGACTGAACCATTGGCTGGCCCAACAAGCCCAGGTTTTGGCTGGCGGCCTCCTCTCTTGCTCCCATATGTAGACTTGTGAATTTTGACCCAATTGATCATGTCATTTCTGAATTCTTGGCCCATTCATTGATAAGTCTGGTTCTCGACATCGTCTGATTGATTGATCGCCTGTTTTGATGCCAATTCTCCATTTTAGAGCATGCCCAGCAGATCTTCCATCGGGCATCCATCTCAATTTTAGCGTATGGAGGTGAAAAACCAAGATCCAACAGAGTCTCCATCACACACGCCATCTTTAGATGTCATCCAAACCGAGCGCTCTCCATGCCAAATTTGGCGTTTCTCTCTCCTCACGCTATCCCCCCAACTGCTCAGCTCGACGAACTCGCGCCACCATCCAGATGGACATAGAGAGGATGGACATACCGGGTCTGCCGTTGGTGTTCGCCGGAGTGGAGGCCCCGCCGTCTGCGCCGCCCCATCAGGACTCCGCGCCGCGCCGCTGCTCCTTCGCTCGCTTCACCTGCCGCCATCGCGATATGGCGGCCGCCGCCGGCCTCCTCCGTCCCTTGCTTGCCCACCGCCGGCTACTTCCTCCCCAGCCATCCGCGGCCCTCGCCTGCCTGGCCGCCGGGCTCCGCGGCCACCGCGTGCATCCTCACCGCCCGTCGCCCGCTCGGCCGCCGCCGCCCCTCACTTGCCTGGCCGCCGCCGCCTCTCGCCAGCTCGTCCGCCACCGCCCCTTGGCTGCACAGCCGCCGCCGCCGCCTCTCGCCAACTCCTCTGCGCAGCCACTGCCTGCAAAGAGAAGTAGTACTAGCGGAGAATCGGAGATGGTAGAGAACAAGCAGTGAGGAAGTAGTACTAGCAGTTCCCTAGCGATTAAATGAGGGGAGAAAATGTAGTAATGTTAATTTGTTGGGTTATCATTTTAAATGCTTCAGTCACCCAATAAAAATATATCTGTTAAAGTTTATTCGTTTCAAAATATTATGGTGATAAATACAACGTTAAAATTAAGTTGTTCAAAATATATCCCTTAAAATATAAATGTAAGGTTAGTTGGAAGATATTACTAAAATATAGGATGATGGGATATGGATGATATAGTATAGATGATGTGTTGGAGTTGGAAGGGATATGGATGAGGAATCTTTTTGGATGATAATCCATATGGGCATTTGGGGGATGAAATATAGATGAGCTGCTAGGGATGCTCTTATGTTCATTCTCTGCAAGAGGTTAGCAATCCCAGTACTAGTGGAATACTTATTATTCTAACACAAATATGCATTGTAAGCATAACTAGTTCTCCTTTATTTTGGTAGTATTGACGGTCGAAACTGATCGCTAACGACCGTCAACAAAACCCCCTAAGCTTGAACCTTTGCTCGTCACGAGTAAAGGATGAAAGGAAACAAAGACTTGGCTGTTGATCATGAGTTGCTACTATGCTGTATATCTCAAATGTATAGGTTCAAGGCATATGTACTCTCTCTTAAATCAAATAATCTTTGGCACGGTGGCTTACCCTTACCCCTGATTCCCACGAGACATTGTCTCTTCTTGCCTTAAGCGGTTGAAAGACAGAACAACAATTAGAGTACTAATCACCCAATCTTCATTCAACTTTTATTCCGGAAGTTTTCAAATGATTTTTGTAAAAGAAATCCAAGTTCCTCAAATGATTCACTCGGTCTCTCCAAGTGTATCAAAATGAATTCCTCACCATTTTGCCTTTTTGATTCCTACTCTAAGGTTGATATGTGTAGTTTGGTAGGGATCAAACATGGCATACTTGCATTCACATTTATTACTAAGTCAAAAACATAGACTAAAATAGATGACTAAATATACTCAAGATCAAGATCGTGTAAAGTGTGTGTGTGTGTGTGTGATATATGGTGGAAATGAAATGTTTAAAATAAAGAAAAAACGTGATGAGGACATCCCTTCCAACGATACAACCACGCCTATTGCACAGCAAGGACCAATGACTAGAGCTCGAGCTCGTGAACTTAATTATCAGGTAAAGTCATTCCTAGCTAATCATACAAGTTCTTCTCAGAATTGGGTGCTACTAAATGGTTGTTGTGATCTACTTGTTGTTAGGAATATGGGAGAGGAACCAAATCGCAAGCAGCACTAGCAGCGCTGATTTGATGAAGTCAATGCTCTTCACTCCGGAGGGCAAACGGGGCAAATGAGTACTTGTTGGAAAGATCTCGTCGTCTACTTTCAGCTATGTGTGGCCTCACCATCAACTTTGACCCAGGCTGCTCAGAATGACGAAAATAGTTCTTTACATCAGAAACTTGGGCTTGGGCCTTGTTTCATTACAGCCCATTAGGGGTCCACAAAACCTAGGGTTTGCTCCCACCTCCTCTCCTGGTCATTCCTCCACCTATATAAACTCCTAGCAGCCACCATTTTGCACTTTGGGTTTTGTTTTGATGTAAGTTTAGCTGCAGCTACTTCCTTGTACTCGCGTGTGTCGGCTAGACCACCCGGATACTTGTATTCAGAACCCCATTTTGGTTTGTTTAAGTTTCATCATTTGACAAGTGCCGTGAGCTGTTTCCTTGTCAACTTGTTCTTGCTTGTTCTTCGATTGCTTGCAGGTTCAAGGTTGTTCTTGGCACGGCAAGAACAGCAACAACGTGGAGTCGGTGTACCGGTTGCTAAGGCGCAGCACCCCTGTGGTAGTTGTAGTCGGACCGCCAACGTCGTATCCTTCCCCAAATCGAAGTTTATCCTCCTCTCATCGAAAGATCGGGAACCCCCGTTGCTGCATCAAGTGGTATCAGAGCTCAAGTTGCTCGGTGAGAGATTTTATCACTTCTTTGTTTTTACCTACAGCCCAAAAGAAAAACCACTAAAATAGGTCAGACCCGAAATCACCAAAACATGTTGAGCCTTTGCTGTTCTACTTAGTCTTTGCTTGCTGAGTTTTCGATTGCATCGATTGGTTGAGTTGCTGGTTCTAGTAGTTTAGTCCTTTAGAGTTTCGAGTTCTGCCCACGAATTCGTCACCGCAAACACTTCCACCATCACTTCTTTTATCTTCATCCCGCTGCCACCATCACCACCATATTCACCACGAAATCCACCTCCAACCCCACCAAATTTCGTCCACCACAACCAGCAGCACCCTCATCACCACATCAGCCACCCCCAAATGCATTTATTGCTGCCTCCACCAACAGCCAACCCTTTTGCAACTTTTTGAAGTGAATCAGCCCTTCCCAAGAAAGCATTTAAGTGCTCTCACTTTTGACTTGTTGGCTGAATCATGTAACTAGCCAACCAACCCATCATTACTTCTTGTTTTGATTTGTTGGCTGAAGCTTGTGAAATTTCGAAAATGTTTGAGAAAAGGTTATTTTGCTAAGGCTTGTTTTGACTTGTTGGCTGAAGCTTTGAGCTTGCTGTACAAAAAAAAAAAGAAAGAAAAACAAAAAAAAAGAAAGAAAAAAAATCAGAAGTGAAGAGAAGGAAAAAAAAAAAGGAAGGGAAGAGAGGAAGTTGTTGTTGTTGCTGTTGTGTTTGTGTTATTTTCGTGCTATTTTGAGTGGCTACGCTTGTGACTAGGCTCGCGTCTCTAAAGGGTTTTGCCTAGGACCAGCACAATACCATCGTTGAATGATTATTCAACTTGCTTTGATTAATGTGGTTCTAGCTGTACCTTGATATTACTTGCAGCCACCTATAGCTCCACAAATTTTTATCTACTATATCACAGGATCGTGTTTGTTGTCGGCTCCAGTACTACTAACCGTTGTTGCTGTTCTTGCTGTTTGCCAACGCCTTTTACATAACAAAGTAAGAACATGTAAGAACTCGTTTGCACAAGTTTGGTAGAAGTGGAGATGGACAACACCTAGCTCCAATAGTTGATAGGACATATTTCTTGTGAATTGTTTCTTCCCATTAACCATGACAGGAGGATCGGGGGAGCACCCTCAACATTCACCACGTACGAGGGGCATCATACAACATTTTGAGCGCCAAGTGAGGGAGCATGCTGAAGGCCTTGATGAGGATGTTAGGGTCGCCAATGATCGCCTTGGTCAATTGGAGGCTGCTCAAATTGACACCAACTCCAAGCTTTCCTCATTGGAGAGGTCCCTTGTGGCTGTGAACACTTCTCTTGCAGGTATCTTGAATACGTTGGAGAGAATGGGCCAAGATGGTCATGATGGATCGGCTAGGCGCAACCACAATGGCCATGATGCTAATAGCAGCATCGCAGCAAGGGAAGAACTGGAGTACGTTGCTGACACTGAGCATGATGAGGAGGTACTTGGTCGTCCACAAAGACAACAGCGCCGGCAGCGCCATGGCTTGGGCGCTCCACCACGGCGGGAGGTACGTGATAATGATGATTCTTTAGGCAAGATCAAGTTTACCATTCCTTGCTTTGATGGAAAATATGACCCTGATGCATATCTTACTTGGGAGTTAGCCATTGATCAGAAATTTGCTTGCCATGATTTTCCTGAGAATAAATGTGTTAGGGCTGCTACTAGTGAGTTCACTGATTTTGCATCCATTTGGTGGAGTGAATTTGTTCGTTCCAATCCAAATAACACTCCCCAAACCTGGGATGCAATGAAAAGAGTCATGCGAGCTAGATTTGTTCCTTCATATCATGCACGTGATTTGCTGCACAAATTGCAACAACTTAGACAGGGAAACAAATCTGTAGAGGAGTATTATCAAGCTTTGCAAACAGGAATGCTTCGTTGTGGATTGGTAGAAAATGATGATGCTGGTATGGCTAGATTCATGGGTGGGCTGAACCGAGAAATTCAGGACATTCTAACCTACAAAGAATATAATTCAATTAATCATTTGTTTCATCTTGCTTGTAAAGCTGAAAGGGAAGTACAGGGACGAAGAGCTAGCTTCAGGACTAACATTTCTGCAGGTCGTGCTAGCTCTTGGACATCTTCTAACGCTGCTGCACCGTCAACTCGAGCAGCAGCACCATCGTCCTCAAGCAACAAGCTGCGTCCCTCTACAACAAACTCTACACCATGCCCGAGTGAACCAACAAGAGGGGTTGCTGCTACACCTTCCAAGACCTCATCATCAGTAGCTTCATCAGGAAGGACAAGAGATATTCAGTGCTTACGCTGCAAGGGCTATGGTCACGTGCGCAAGGACTGCCCAAGCACTCGTGTAATGATCGTGAGAGCTGATGGTGGGTACTCCTCCGCTAGTGATTTAGATGGAGAAACCTATGCTTTGCTTGCAACTAACAATGCACGGGAAGGTGACGCGCCCCACCAAGATGAGGAACACATTGGGGCTGAAGCTGCAGAGCACTATGAGAGCCTCGTGGTGCAGCGAGTGCTAAGCGCACAAATGGAAAGGGCTGAACAGAATCAGCGCCACACCTTGTTTCAAACCAAGTGTGTGATCAAGGAACGCTCTTGCCGCGTGATCATAGATGGAGGAAGCTGCAATAATTTGGCTAGTGCTGAAATGGTGGAGAAACTTGCATTGAGCACACAGCCACATCCACAGCCCTACTATATTCAATGGCTTAATAGCAGCGGCAAGGTAAAGGTAACACGATTGGTAAGAGTACATTTTGCCATTGGTTCTTATCATGATTCAATCAACTGTGATGTTGTGCCTATGCAAGCATGTTCTATGTTATTAGGTAGGCCATGGCAGTTTGATAAAGATTCTTTACACTTTGGCAAATCCAATCAATACTCCTTTGTGCATAATGGAAAAAAACTTGTGTTACATCCTATGTCTCCTGAAGTTATTTTAAAGGATGAACTTGCTAGAGCTAGCAAACAAAAAAATCAGGAGCATACTAGGAGTGAGCATCTTATTGCGGCTAATGAACTTGAGAAGCATAAGAAGAAACCCACCAACTCTGTTCAAAATAATAAAAATGAGATTAAGCTGAAGGGATCTTGTTTCATTGCAACAAAATCAGATTTGGATGAAGTTGACACTGACACTGTTGTTTGCTATGCTTTGGTTTGCAAAGAAACCTTATTTCCAATTGAGGATACTCCTATTTCTTTGCCTCCTCCGGTCACTAACCTTTTGCAGGAGTATGCTGATATTTTCCCAAAGGAGGTTCCACCGGGGCTGCCACCAATTCGAGGGATTGAGCACCAAATTGACCTCATTCCTGGGGCCTCTCTGCCAAACCGTGCGCCATACAGGACCAACCCGGAGGAAACAAAGGAGATTCAGCGTCAAGTGCAAGAGTTACTCGACAAGGGGTATGTACGTGAGTCTCTTAGTCCTTGTTCTGTCCCCGTGCTTTTAGTTCCTAAGAAAGATGGCTCATGGCGCATGTGTGTGGATTGTAGAGCAATTAACAACATCACAATCAGATATCGTCATCCTATCCCTAGGCTAGATGATATGCTTGATGAATTGAGTGGTTCACTTGTGTTCTCTAAAATTGATTTGCGTAGTGGTTACCACCAGATTCGCATGAAGTTAGGAGATGAATGGAAAACAGCTTTTAAAACTAAATTCGGCCTATATGAGTGGTTAGTCATGCCCTTTGGTCTCACTAATGCACCCAGTACTTTCATGAGATTAATGAATGAAGTTTTACGTGCTTTCATTGGCAGATTTGTGGTGGTATATTTTGATGACATTCTCATATATAGCAGATCAATAGAGGATCATCATGGTCATTTGCGTGCTGTTTTTGATGCTCTACGAGATGCACGTTTATTTGGTAACCTTGAGAAGTGCACATTTTGCACAGATCGAGTCTCTTTTCTTAGCTATGTTGTGACTCCGCAGGGAATTGAAGTAGATCAAGCCAAGGTTGAAGCCATACATAACTGGCCGGTTCCAACAACGATCACACAAGTGAGAAGCTTTCTAGGACTTGCTGGGTTCTACCGCCGCTTTGTGAAGGATTTTAGCACCATTGCAGCCCCATTACATGAGCTTACCAAGAGAAATGTCACATTCACTTGGGCTGCAGCACAAAGGAATGCATTCGACACTTTGAAAGATAAGTTAACACACGCTCCTTTACTCCAACTTCCTGATTTCAACAAAACTTTTGAGCATGAATGTGATGCTAGTGGGATTGGATTGGGTGGTGTGTTGTTACAAGAAGGCAAACCTGTAGCATATTTCAGCGAGAAATTGAGTGGGCCTAGTTTGAATTATTCTACTTATGATAAGGAATTGTTTGCTCTAGTGCGAACATTGGAAACATGGCAGCATTATTTATGGCCCAAAGAATTTGTTATACACTCTGATCATGAATCTTTGAAACACATTCGAAGTCAAGCAAAACTTAACCGTAGGCATGCTAAATGGGTTGAATTTATTGAATCTTTTCCATATGTCATCAAACATAAGAAGGGAAAAGAAAATGTCATTGCTGATGCTTTGTCTAGACGTTACGCAATGCTATCCCAACTTGACTTCAAAATTTTTGGCTTAGAAACAATAAAAGAGCAATATGCGCACGATGATGATTTTAAAAATGTGTTGTTGAATTGCAAGGAGGGAAGGACTTGGAACAAATTCGTTCTCACCAATGGGTTTGTGTTTAGAGCTAATAAGTTATGCATTCCAGCTAGCTCCGTGCGTATGCTATTATTGCAGGAAGCGCATGGTGGAGGGCTGATGGGACACTTTGGTGTGAAGAAGACGGAGGATATCCTTGCTGATCATTTCTTTTGGCCTAAGATGAGGAGAGACGTGGAGAGGTTCGTTGCTCGCTGCACAACATGCCAAAAAGCTAAGTCACGCCTTAACCCTCATGGTTTGTATATGCCTTTGCCTGTTCCTAGTGTGCCTTGGGAGGATATTTCTATGGACTTTGTTTTAGGGCTGCCTAGAACAAAGAAGGGGAGGGACAGTATCTTTGTTGTTGTAGATAGATTTTCTAAGATGGCGCATTTCATACCTTGTCATAAGAGTGATGATGCTACACATGTTGCTGATTTGTTCTTTCGTGAGATTGTTCGCTTGCATGGAGTGCCAAACACCATAGTTTCTGATCGCGATACAAAATTCCTTAGTCATTTTTGGAGAACCTTGTGGGCTAAGTTGGGGACTAAATTTTTATTTTCTACTACATGTCACCCCCAAACTGATGGACAAACTGAGGTGGTGAATAGAACATTATCTACAATGCTTAGGGCTGTTTTGAAAAAGAATATTAAAATGTGGGAAGAATGTTTGCCTCATGTTGAGTTTGCTTATAATCGTTCACAACATTCTACTACTAAGAAGTGCCCTTTTGAGATTGTTTATGGCCTTCTACCCCGTGCTCCAATTGATCTTTTGCCCCACCCAACTTCAGAGAGAGTGAACTTTGATGCAAAATATCGCGCTGAATTGATGTTAAAACTGCATGAGACCACTAAGGAGAACATAGAGCGCATGAATATTAAATATAAACTTGCTGGGAGCAAAGGAAAGAAACATGTTGCTTTTGAACCTGGTGATTTGGTTTGGTTGCATTTGAGAAAGGATAGGTTCCCTAATTTGAGAAAATCTAAGTTGCTACCTAGAGCTGATGGTCCTTTCAAAGTGCTACAAAAGATTAATGACAATGCATACAAGCTTGAGCTACCTGCCGATTTTGGGGTTAGCCCCACGTTTAACATTGCAGATTTAAAGCCATATTTGGGAGAAGAAGATGAGTTAGAGTCGAGGACGACTCAAATGCAAGAAGGGGAGGATGATGAGGACATCCCTTCCAACGATACATCCACGCCTATTGCACAGCAAGGACCAATGACTAGAGCTCGAGCTCATGAACTTAATTAACAGGTAAAGTCATTCCTAGCTAATCATACAAGTTCTTCTCAGAATTGGGTGCTACTAAATGGTTGTTGTGAAATACTTGTTGTTAGGAATATGGGAGAGGAACCAAATCGCAAGCAGCACTAGCAGCGCTGATTTGATGAAGTCAATGCTCTTCACTCCGGAGGGCAAACGGGGCAAATGAGTACTTGTTGGAAAGATCTCGTCGTCTACTTTCAGCTATGTGTGGCCTCACCATCAACTTTGACCCAGGCTGCTCAGAATGACGAAAATAGTTCTTTACATCAGAAACTTGGGCTTGGGCCTTGTTTCATTACAGCCCATTAGGGGTCCACAAAACCTAGGGTTTGCTCCCACCTCCTCTCCTGGTCATTCCTCCACCTATATAAACTCCTAGCAGCCACCATTTTGCACTTTGGGTTTTGTTTTGATGTAAGTTTAGCTGCAGCTACTTCCTTGTACTCGCGTGTGTCGGCTAGACCACCCGGATACTTGTATTCAAAACCCCATTTTGGTTTGTTTAAGTTTCATCATTTGACAAGTGCCGTGAGCTGTTTCCTTGTCAACTTGTTCTTGCTTGTTCTTCGATTGCTTGCAGGTTCAAGGTTGTTCTTGGCACGGCAAGAACAGCAACAACGTGGAGTCGGTGTACCGGTTGCTAAGGCGCAGCACCCCTGTGGTAGTTGTAGTCGGACCGCCAACGTCGTATCCTTCCCCAAATCGAAGTTTATCCTCCTCTCATCGAAAGATCGGGAACCCCCGTTGCTGCATCAAAACGCTTCTCCTTTGTGCTTACTCCTAAAATCCTTCTTTTATAAATAAGGAGAGGGCATGGCTACATTATTCTCTCTCTTTTTTTTTTTCAATATCATGCTCATTCTTGAGAGAGCATAACTTTATTTTCATAACCGCCTTTTCCTCCTTCTTTTCTCTCTTTTTTTTCAGAAAGGATTTTCTTTTTAGGAGAAGAAAGCGCATAAAAGCATGGCGAATTTATTTTTGGTGGTAGTATGGAAATGGAATGGATAATTGCTAGCTCGCAGTGTAGGAGTTTAGCATGTGCATATATGTGGATGTATGATCTTGATCATAGATCATGAGAAGTATGTTCACAAGTCACAAGAATTTGACAAAGTTCAATGGAATTATAAGTAACCAAAATATATATGGTTTAATCAATATGGAATATTTTTGGCTCTGGTAGGAATTTATATCAAATGAGGAACTCCATAAGTTATTATTTTGAAAAATAAAACATCCGGAATTTAAGTCGAACTTAGACTAGGATTATAGCAACTCTTAGTTACTATCTCATATCTCACAACAACTTAGAATCAAATTAGCAAATGTAGGACCCCACATGGGCCAGGGTCCCAAACAAAGTTACAAGCCCATTGGCCCAATACAGGTGACGCAGCACCTTGCTTCTGTGATTGTGGCCAAACGAGATAGAATTCCGAGATGAGACTGGATCCGTTGGAAGGAGGACTTCGAGAGCTTTCCATCAAGTACTCACGGGCCCAAAACGGAGCACGTATGTAGATTTGGCGGCCGTTTGAAATCAGCAATGTAACACGTGGCCGAATCAGATTGCAGCACATGGAGGACTTGATCTTGATGTCTTCTTGTTGATTCATGATGTGAGCAATGGTCGTATCCATAGTAGCCATGGTCACATCAAACTCACAGCGCATCCATTCAGGCAGAACACAAATCCAGACTGCGATCTAAAATCATCTTTGTCGGTTTGGAAGCTTGCGTCAGTGTAACCATTTACAATGAGCTCTTCCTGTCCTCTATAGACTAGGAACATATCCTTAGTTCGTCTCAAGTACTTCAGGATATTATTTACAGCTATCCAGTGACTCTCACCAGGATCTGATTGGTATCGGCTTGTTGCACTAAGTGCATATGAAACATCTAGACGTGTATATAGCATAGCATACATAATGGATCAGATTGCCGAGGCATATGGAATCACACTCATTTTGTTTCGCTCATCAGTCGTTTGAGGACACTGATTCTTGGCAAGATTAATGGCATGTGACATCGGTAAGAAACCTTTCTTAGAATCTTGCATGTTGAACCTCTTCAACACCTTGTCAATGTATGTACTCTGGCTTAATCCAATTAGCCTCTTTGATCTATCTCTATAGATCCTTATGCCTAGAATATATGCTGCTTCCCCTAAGTCCTTCATTGAAAAACTATTTTTCAACGATGTCTTATCGGATTCAAGTATAGGAATTGTTTACACCCAAATTTGGCACCTAGGATTAAAATAGGAAAGATTGCCAAAATTTGGAAGTCTACCGGTTTCCTTCGAGTGGGCCGGCCTGACTGCCGTGTGTTGGGCGGTCAGACCGCCGGTTGACGGCCGGTCGGACCGGCAGTGTGTGGCCGGTCCGACCGACAGGTCCGAGTTCGATTGTGTTTCGTCGGGTTTCGAGATTTCCTTGCTCGGGAAGGCATGTTTCGGGTTTCCTTTAGTTTCTACCCCGAGTTGGATGTGGAGGAGGGCCCGTAGAGGGCAAGACCAACCCCTATATAAGGGACATGGCCGGTTCTATTGTAAAAAAACAATCTACAATCAATCAATCGAATCGTTTTTCGTATTGCTTTTAGTTTTCCCTTAGTTTGTCCATCTTTGTCGGTTTGCGCCGTAAACCGTCCGCCGCCGCTGCGAGAGTGCGACATCTCTTTGTAGGTTTGTCCTGAAAACCTTCCGTTTTGCCCATGAGACGGGTTGTTATCTTAAATCGGCTCCATTAGCCGGTTTATTTGTCAAAATCCATCTAGGTTTAGCTCTTTGCTAGATCGAGGTGGTTGGCGACTCTAGGATCACCGCAAGGCATAAGGTGCTGCGATCGTTGTTGTCAACTTGTCACAAAAAGTTGCTAACACGATTTTGGCAACTCCACTGGGGAGATCCGTTCAACGTCAACTCAACTTCGATTTCGCCATGACGGAACCGCCATCAACCAAGGCGGAGGTGGAGCCGGCCATTGTGATACCAATCACATTGAATGATTTCGAAGGAGAAGACCGCAAGTCCATGGAGGAGTACATCAAGGAGCTCACACAAGAGGCGTTGATGAGGGCGTCTACTAGGACTCGTTAAGGTGTGATCATCAAGCCCTGGCCACGTCCTAAGCTCGCTCCCAATTTGGTAAGCAATGAAGAGGTAACACAATCTATCCAACAACAAGTAGCATCTACAAT